GGTAAGGGTCACACTAGAACTAGAACACACCACCTAGTGGTTTAAAGAAATTCTAAGAACTTAGAAGACAATAGAAAACACTGAAAGTGAAAATTTAAATGCACGAGTTCTTGCTGCAGAAGTTGAGGTTGTGCAATACCACATTGTGAAAGGACAATAAAATAGCTTAGTAAGTGTAATTAAATCATAACGGGCATCATGGGAGTATTTAGGAGAAAATGTGCCTGATTTAATTTCACTCACAAACATAATAGAGAGATGTGGCAGTCTGCAAATGCAGAGTGAGAAAGGGCTTTCTTACAATCCGGGATGCTGCGTAAAATATAAATATAAACAGCATGCAGTGATTTGTAAATCTCAGTAGAATGCAAAAAATGTATTGTATTTAAATAATGCTTCAAAAATATTTGCCCAAATAAGTGGTGAGATGACCGACAAGTGGTGACACTTTCTTCTGCACAAACTTTAAGTCGTGTTTTTCCTGTTCTTCTGCAGGTGGTTGGATTGGCTCTGAAATCGGAAAAACCATGGAGCGATATGACCCGGAGGAGAACAAGTGGGAGGTCATTGGCAGCATGGCTGTTCCCCGCTATTACTTTGGCTGTTGTGAGTTCCAAGGTGTGTCCGTCCCTTTAATACATTTAAACAAAATAAACACATCTGTATAATCAGGCGTAAAAGCTTTAATCATATTTGTTATGCAGAAGAAAGATTGTAACGAGAAGTACTTGCACTGTTTTCGCATTTTTCTTTGCACGTCACCACCTGAACCCTCAGTTCTGGAGGTCAGCTCTAAACGCAATGGTTTTTACCCAGGCTTCATTTACGTGATCGGAGGGATCAGCGACGAAGGGATGGAGCTGCGCTCAGCAGAGGTGTATGATCCCATCTCGCGTCGATGGAGCGCCCTGCCCGTCATGGCCACTCGACGGGCCTACGTGGGCGTCGCATGTCTCAATAACTGCATATATGCTGTGGGCGGCTGGAACGAAGCTCTTGGTGCTTTGGAGACAGTAGAGAAGTACTGCCCAGAGGAGGTAAAGAGCCAAAATAATCTGTTTACAAATTTTAACAGACGCTCCAACGTTCTCCTCACGTCTGCAAACGTCTGTCCGCAGGAGAAATGGGTGGAGGTCGCTGCGATGTCTACGGCACGCGCAGGTGTATCGGTGTCGGCAGTAAACGGGCTGCTGTATGCGGTTGGAGGAAGAGCAACCACCAGAGACTTCTCCGCACCCGTAACGGTGGATTCCGTGGAGATCTACGACCCTCACCTGGACACCTGGACCGAGGTCGGCAACATGATCACCAGCCGCTGCGACGGCGGGCTGGCTGTGCTCTGACAGACGGGAATGTCCTGCACCTGAATCATTCACCAAACACAGCATAAACTGGAGAAAAGCTGCACCTTAAGAGACATACAGAAAAGTGTGTTTTGGTTTAAACAGCCTTTCATATGTTGTCATAGTATTTATACATGGATGTCTCCTTTTTGTTTTTTTAAATTAATCAATGAATATGAACATGAAAGCACATTTAGTACTGAAATCTGCCAAAATGTTCTTTTTACTGTTACATGACTCTCCTGTGTCCTTATTTTCAATTCAGTCACAACGTTAGAACAATATATTGGAAGGCACAGCTATCTTGGTGATGACGATTATTTTTTATAGAAGTTCTATTTTTGATGAACCACAGAGGGTTTTTTGAAAGTCCCGTGGGGCACTAAGAAAACTGCTGGCAGGTGATGAAGCACTGTTTAGTTTCTTTTAAAGAATTTTTGGAGGGCGGTGCATTACCACTCCGAGCCCTTGAGCCTAGTTGACAGTAGAACCACATAAAACCTATGGCTGCATTAAGTTTAAAAATTTCTGTGGACTCGAACAGCATGCCAGAGCACTCCTTTTCATTCCACTGGATTATTTATGTACATATGTTTCTACTAGTGCCTCTCCATCGCTGTTTACACTTCATTCTGAGCAAGTAAAGACTGCTTTATCATTTCAGATTTGTACTATCTGATGTTGAGGTGTGCAGCCTATCGCTTAGAAATATGTTCAGCATCTTTATGGTATCACATTTCCTCTTGTTTTCAAGCTGACCGAAGCGGTGCCACAGCACAGCTTCTTTCTATCATGCACAGTTAAACCTTTGCAAAAACACAATACTACACCACACTGATAATGCTGCTTTTCAGACTTAATAAACATCGCAAAACAGTTATGTGTATGCTTTATTTCATTTTAACCTTATTCCCTTCTTTTTCAGTGTAGTTAAAATGTAATAATCCCCTCTGATAGTTCTGTGCAAACACCAGCATGCAGGAGGACATTACTCCCCGATATCCTAGGTGATGGTACGTAGGTGTGTTGGGTTCATTTGTGAACGATCATGTTAGTATTATTAGATTCGTTACACGGATGTAAAGCTGTTTGAAGCGGGAAAGTTGTCTTCTGTATTGTGCAAACAAGCGAACTACAGCAGTCACACTTGCTGTAATTACACTGGACGTCTTACTGGGATTGTGGCTCATCTATTTGGAGCCGATGTTTACAAAACACTGAGGCTGTAAATGTGGGATCACTTACTTCCAACTCTGCTATAAAAACTCCAGTGTGTCTGTTTAATGGACAGCCATTTCTACCTAAATGTGAACTTCAGTTTCCTGTTTTCAGCTGACAGGAGTGCCACTCGGTGTGGTCTTCTTCTCTTGTAACGCATCTGCTTCAATGTTTGACATGCTGTGCGTTCAGAGACACAAATCTCGATACCTTGGCGGTTACTCATATCAGACCGTCTGGCACTAACAACCATGCTACGTTCACCTTTCTTCCCCATTCTGATTCTCAGTTTGAACTTCACGGGCCTGAATTAATTGCTGCCATGTGATTGGCTAATTATATATCTACATTAAAGAACAGGTGTACCTAATAAAGTAGCTGGTGACCTTAAAGTTTGTGATGCAAGAAGAATGAACATGAATAATTCATGTTTAACACAGCTGAGGCAGCAGGTTAGAACTATAAACAAAAGCACATGAATTTCTACAGCTGTTTTGACTAAAAGCTGCCTGAAGCTCGATTTTTATTATCTCAACTTTTCACATAAAAAAAGACATGTTTAAATAATCTGTTTACACACATGTTCCAAAAGAGTATTTTTCCCCTGTGTTTAGCGCAGCAAAGAGCATGATTCTGCATGTGTTAAAGGAATTCTTAAGCCCATTGTTTGTTCTTTGCTATATTTAGGTATTTAACTCACTCCTCATGAGATGGGAATTTCTCCAGATATTTTGCAACCCAGGAAACAACTGCTATTTATTTTCAAATTATTATGTATTATTTACATAAGAGCAAAATTGGCTCATTCAACTGTAGCACCACAACGACTGTCTGCAGATGTTCACCTGATGTTTTCCATTCTTATGTTCATGCAGTTAAAGAGACAAACTATCCTGTTAAAATCACTTCTAAGTCTCTATGAACTTCTTCTCTGGACAGAGCTTTTTAAGCACCAACGTGGCCACCAGAGAAAAGGTGGCAACCAGAGTGAGAACAGTTCGCATGGCTTTGAACCAGGCAGGGTAGCCAGGCAGAAGAGTCAGGTCGTAATGCAGTGACAGGCCCAGTCCCATTACAACAACTAGAGCTCCTTCAGCTATGTTGTCCCTGCAGAGCAACGCCAGCCAGGCCAGAAGCGACGGCACCACACTGTTACCCAAATTCATCCAGTCTGGCTGTGCGGGACTACCAGCTGGGATGGCAAACCCCCAACGGGCACCTCCCAGGAATGACACTATAGAAGCTCCGTACACCACTTGAGCATATGCCACTTCAGGGTGGAAAGATTGTGTGGCAGCCATGAGAAAAGGGGCAGAGATAAAGGGGATGAGACCAGAAAATCCCAGGTACAGAGCTGGTTTGGGAGCCTTGGCGAGGGCTCTTAAACTGAAACCCTCTTTGCTGTCACTTCTCTCTGATTTGCCTCTGGAATCCTCGTGGCAGAGATGTGATGTGTGCCAGCTCACAGGTTTGATGTTCAACAGTCTGCTGGTGGTAGATGGTCTGAATGACATAAAGACAGAGGAGGCTCGAGTGTGAAGCAGCACAGTTTCTGTGCTGTAGTTTGGTAATCTGTTTATTTGCTGAAGACATCTCCATACTGGAACCTGAAACCATGCACAATCACAGAACATCATTAATATTCTGCTGGCACCTAGAGAATTATTGCATTCGTTAGTAGGCATGATATATTTATCAAATGCAAACTTTTGCTATTCTTACCCCAGACAAAATACGTCTTCCAGAGACGAAGCCAATCATATTCAGCGTGGAAAAAGAATCACACTTACACAGCACATGCAATCTTTAGTTTCAGTGACGAGATACACCCTGAGCTAACGTTGGTGCAGCTAGCATTAACCTCAACCTGATGTAATACGAGGCTGTGCTAATGTAACAACCTATAAACCACAGGATTTATAGTTACCTAAACGTTATCATATAAATGTTAGTCATAGAACGGTTTTCAGTGGCCACCGAAAACACAAAAACATATAACAAATTGTGAGAAAGTTCATATTTCATATGCTAAAGTAGAGGTCGTTTGCTTGCCGTCAGGATATCGGCGCTCGATTAAATGCCTGTCTCTTAATATTTTTTAGCGGAACCAGACTGACTCTGATATCGACTGGATTGGCTGTCCTTGGCGGGGAGGTATTATGTTGCGTTCAAGGTTGCAAAATCCCACATTGTTTACTATTATCGCCGTTTTCTTTGAATATTTCGAAAAATAACAAAGAAACATAATGTTGTATCTTTAGACATTTGTATATTTTATTTATCGGAGTTTATAACAATTACATCGAAGCCACACTGTTTAGCCTGCTGAGATGAAAAACTCGTTAGACTCCCAGTGAGTTGCATAATCACGTCAGATCTTGAATGGAGCACAGTTGAGGCTGTTCGAATCCCCCTGTGCCAGCGCCAGTGGTAAGATCACCGAAAACCCAAACAAACATCGATAGTCCTGCGATTAAAGCAGTTTATATTTGCAAAAAAGTGCAGTGTCATTGGTCTCTGCAGAGTGAGTCTATATTTGAATCTACGACTATCCTGTTTATTGGAAGGTATCGTAGGAAAGACTGTAAGTTAGCTCGCTAGCACTTAGCAAGCTAATGAATGTGTGCTGCCGCTGCTAAGGTAGCCATTTTGAAACTGTGTTGTTCCAACGAAGCAAGGTCTGTTTACCTCTATTGTATGTCCGTGACAACTGCTTAAATAGTCAGTTCTAGTTACCGTAGGCGTATTAAATCCGTGTTTACTGGACTAAGCTCTCTAGTCTTGCTAATTCCTTTCAAATACCAACCAATTTTCTCGGGCTTCCCAACAGGCTAGATAGCGCTAGCTATTAGCTAACAATTCCTATGCTAACGTTAACCTGAGTTATCTTGGCAGAGTCAGCTAGCGGTGGAGTTAGGACAGATCTGACAGCGCTGTTGTGTGTGGTACTTGTTGGCCGCTTAGCGTCTTTAATTATTTCGATGAACTTTTAACTTCATAACATTCAGCTAGTCATTTAGTTGAAGTGTGTGTATGCTGTGTTAAGGTGGGTCTGCTGTTTGTGTGTTTGTGTACATGTGAGTTGAGCGCATTTAGGCGTTATGCAGGGTGTTTTCCAAAGGTAGAAGTGTTTTTGCCGCCGCCATTCATTGGAGTGTTGATTCACAGTGAAGGAAGTGTGTGCGCTGCACATTGTACCTCGTGCCTGTGGTAAATTCATTGATGTTGAACTGTTACGTAATAGTTTAGTGGGTGCACGCTATCAAGCCCGAATCAGTGAAACAAGGGTGCATATATATTGTGGGGTTTTTGTTTGTTGTTTGGGTTTTGAGCCATGCCTTCGTGCGTGTACGAACAGGGTGTTTGGGATTGTCACCTCAGTTTCGTGCCGTATTTACAGACACTATTGGGCCCATTAATATTCGCAGCAGTCTGCGCACAGGCAGATAGCGTGCATGTTATTTTTATACTGGTATAAATATTTCACTTAAAAAAAACCCGACACTGTTTTTAAAAGAGCCAGCTTTCAGCCTGAAAGGAATCTGAGATCACAGAGTCCTGATTGATTTTTTTTCCTCCTCTCTTGCATGTCTCAAGACGTCTTTGAGTGTCAGAAGCGTCCTTTTTTCTGGAGCTGATTCCTCTTGAATTGGAAGTTATTTGGGAGTTTATCAGTGAGGGCGGAATGTTTTTCATAGTGTGATAATGGCTGACACAAACTGAAGCTGTTTGCAGTAATGCAGCTCTAGACATACAATATCGTTTACGTTTAGCTACTCTGTCTGGGAAGTTTATTAATGCAGCAGCCTTAGAAGAAAAACAATCTTATAGTTATTTTGGGCGTAGTACTTTGCAGCATTATTGACCTATTGCTCTGTGTTTTCTAATGATTTGATCACCCCAGTTTTACAGTTAAAATTTTAGCATCTGAAATAATTAACTTCTACAGTGCACCGTTTAAAAAAACAGTTTGAACACAAGCTGAACAAAAGTTCATAAAGTTATATGTACTGCTGGGTTCTTATATTAATCTGTATTGTTAGGTAATTTGGACCTATTATGTTTGTTTCCACATCCATACTTTTTATTCCTGGACTCTTCCAAAGATGCTTTGCATGATTCACAATCAAAATAAAACTTGTATGACTTACACTGAGCCTCGGTGAAACCCTCGGGTCATCCTTTGTGTGAAACTGCTCTCCCTTTTAATATCACCTTCCTTTAAACCGGCGTATCTCTGATTTTCTTCACCTTGCAAACAAAGGGTTTGAACAGCAGATGGATGAGGCTTTTGTCCTGACAGCCAGAAGAACTGTGTGGCTGTGTGCCTGAGATGGCCTTGTTATGGGATAAAACCCGTCTATGAAAGCAAGATCAGCCTGATCTCATTATTTGAAATGTTTGCCAAGTTTAATATGAACATCTGTTATTATAGCAATGAAAAGCATGCTAGGTCCACTTTGTGAAAGGTGTAGTTAATTTGGCAAGTAACTCTTAAGTATTTTGTGTGTTTTTGACCCCCAGAGCTTTAAGCCAAACCTCTTTTTTTCTTTCTTTTAAAATTTGTTGCAGGTCCTGTGCAAATACCCGTGAACCATAAAGCAAGAAAATCTGAAATCTGCACTGAAACTTCCTGTGTGAGGGGGAAAAGCACTTTCAAAAAGGAAAGGAAAGACCTACTTGACAATTTTTTGGATGCTTGCGGCTTTTCAACTTTCACTTTTTTCTCCTGAGGAAAAAGAGTAGTTGATCACTTGAGGATTTCTTTTTGGACATGTTTGGCTGTTGCTAAAGCCATCTCAACTTTTGAATTTTGATTTTGCATATCTATGAAACCAGAGGTCCACACTGTTCCTGCTACAGTCAAAACCTGAAATAATTTGATGGGAGTAAAATATATAATGCTAGAAACAGCATTATGATGTACCATTCAACATCTTCACCGTTTCACTAACGAGAACTTATTATGTCGGCAATGTAACGTAGGGCTTCACTGGCTTCATTGTCATGTGACTTTGAACCTTTGAGAGTTATTTTCTCCAAACGAAGACAGTCTTTTCACCACTTTAATGAGGTGAGCAGTGGTTTGCAGTGACCTCCATTGCCAATAAAAGACTGTCTCTCAATTAATTTTTCTTTTCTGAATGTGTTTGAGTAGGTCTTAAAATGATTCGGTAAAAGGCGAGTCAACACAAAAAACATACTGGCACACAGTGTGGCAGGACAACACCTGTCTCTCTCCACGCACCTGGTGTCAAAGTGGAACTGCTTCAAAAACCGTTGTCCATGCTTCAGTGCAGACGACTTTCACAGACTGTTTCTTTATATTAATAATAACCTGGCTCTTCCTCCCATTTGGGACAAATCACTAGTCAATCAATTTGTTTTGCCAATCAGCATCAAGTCTAATCAGGTTTTAAGTCTTACCATGAGATTATGAGCAAATGGTTCAAATAAATTGAGGGATTCAATCTATCTGGAGAAAAAAGAAGAAAAAAAAGTTGCCTGGACTTGAATCAGTTGAATTCATTGCACAAGACCGGCATTAGAACTGACTGGATTCTGGTTCAAGACAGAAAATCTGTTCTGCATAGACTCCTATCCTTGGACTTCAAAAACTGCTTCCTGTTTGGCCAGTTCTCTGGATTGCCATTCCAGATTGTTCCTGCAGTTTTTTGATATATCTCCAAGTGCTTCACCCTGGACGAAGGGATCTGCCTCTGGGGAAAGGGGCTGCGCTGTCCTGGCGGAGGTGGAGAGGAGGTTGTTGGTGTGCTGCCTCCCATCTGTCAGTGCACACACTCTGATCAGTGCCAACAGGCCTGAGGAGGAACCGAGCCCAGCCGGACCGAGAGAGGAGGCAGAGGACTTCAGAGCCACAGACTCTGGGGTAATGTCAAAGTTTCACCCAGCCGATGAGGACAAACATGCATGAGCGTGATGTTAACTAGTGTAGTGTGTTTGTTTTATTTGAATTAATTATTTATTTGAATTAAAACATGCCAAGCACTTATATTTTTAATATAATATCTATATTATTCTGCACAAGATGTTTACATCCATGTTTTCAGCTGAGAATAAGACTCCTTGGCTTGTCTTGTGGAAAAACTTTAAGCAGTTAACTTAAGATAACTGATGCTAGACAAAACACATGAAAGGGATGACATGCAATCAAAGAGAAATGGGATTTAATTCTACATCAGAGGGTCGTGTTTCTGTGCTTTCAGTTGCACACTGAATTTAAAAAAAAATCTTTTGGTAGATCCTGGCCATGAGGTTTGATGCCTCGATCCACTGACCGGAAACACTGGACCTAAATGGCGCAGCATGACTTTGTCCCTGCCTGGCTTAACTTCTCCACACCCCAGCCTGCCAAGGTAGGTGTACGTATCTGTGCGTGTTTGTACTTTATGCGCTCACAACAGAAAAGAAAGAGAGAGACGGAGATTCCAAGTGTATCTCTCACTGATGCTCAAACACCTTTAACAGTGTTTGTGCACCTGAGTATGAGAGTGCATGTGTGTGCACTCAGCAATGAAATGTGCTTAGGGACAGAAAGTGTAGTCAGAACATGGTTCAGTAGAGGGTCATCAAAACCTTTTCAACTTCAAGTAACCACTAAAGGTACCACATTAGGTTTTAAAGAGGACCTATTATCCTAACATTTCCCTCTATATATGTATAGAAATTTTCTTCAGCATGTTGTCTTTAATCCAACTTTAATCTGTCTTTAATCCAACTCTTCTTTTTTTTTTCCTTTTCCTGATTGGCTGTCTCTTGCACACCTGAGTTCAGAACAATAGGTTTTTGGGTCTTCAGTGATCATAGCTAGAGCTGTGGCCCTAAGATGACTGTATTAAACGGGGACTCTGCTCTGTTGAAGATTCAGGCAGTTTTATTCAAAGTCCTCTCGAAGTCTGCCCGAAAGGTGCACGTGCAGTTGGTGCATTGTAGCAGTGGATGTCTGTGCCGAGCCTCACACTCACTGTCTGATGATAAAAATAAGTTCACTCAAAGCCAGTAGGACTGTTGCATACCTGTGGATGTGGAAATGATAAAACCATTATGACCACAAGGGGTGACTGCTGTCATTGACATCAATCCAGAGTCAGTCAGTAAAGAGTTAATAGAAAACTCCGAAACTTATGTTCTTGATTCACGGGTGTTGCTTCTACATTCACTGATCTCATTTTATTTTAAACTTTTGCCATGTTTGATGTTTAATGTCCTGGTGAGGAGTCAGATTCCTGGAGGGACTGGTTCTAGGTCTTCAGAATAGCAACACATGCTGCTTGAGTGAAATTTGTGATGACCAAATGTGTTTTGTTACCACTCTATTCTTCAGCCTGTCATTTTTTTTTTTGTAGGCTGATTAAATTTTTACCCCTGAATTTTGCTGACTGGCATATAAGGCCACTTTAAATCCCTTTTCGGGTCAACATTGATGCCTAGTCAGCTGTCTAACAGTTATGTTAGATGTGTAAATAGAAGTAGCCCGTGTCATATCTCACATTATGTAATATGTGATGTGGTCTCTCGGTGTCTTCACAGCACAAGTAAGAGCCTCTTCTACGCAATTAATATTTTCCTGTATCAGGGCAGTAACAGTGATAACAGTATCAGCGTCATGGACATGCAAAACCATTGAATTAAAGAGGTGGTCTGAGATATGAATACTGACTGTTGAACCAAGTGATGTTATCCATTCGGCAGTAGGTGGTGGCCAACAAGAAAACAATGCTGACTGAATAACATTTATAAGCTGGTTAATTCCCAAGTCTAAAAACCAAGCAGCATCTTCAGCATGTAGTTTACATGTTTGAGCGGTTTATTGGAGCTTAGTGTAATCAGTTGCCAAGCTCATTGGTCTCTGTGAAATCGAGATACTAGACGGTTATTATCCACCTTGCACACAACTTCACCTCTGTGTCATTTATGTCAAGGGATTAGCCAGCATACGCCAGACAGGCTGAAGCTACATTTTCTTAGCTTCTTTTTGTGTGTGTCTGAGTTGAGAAGTCCTCCATGAAGCTTGAAGAACACAATCTGATTTGATCTTTGAACCTCAGCCGATGACTAGGATATGATTCATATCAAGAGGAGCGCTTTTAGTCAGTATTATTAAACCTTCAGGATTTACCACCAAGAGCTGGGTGTGCAGTGTTTGCTTGGATTTTTTTTTAGGTTTTCTCATTTGCACATTTCTTATGACAAAGCTTTATACGATTCTATGTAGTTTCATTTTTGTCTTCCTTTTTTTTTTTTCTCCACTTTCGCTCCTCAAGAATAGATTGACTCATAGTTAGAGGGAGAAGGAGAGAAAAAAAAGTACAGATGGGAATTAAGCTAATCTAAGTCTCTTCGCCAGGACAAAAATAAAGTAGGAAAATGTAGTGAAAAATTCTCTAATTTCAGTTCCAGTTATGCAGTGGCCTGTTATGTTATTGTCCACTTTCTCTGGGCATTGTTACGTGTTAGCTTTGATTAACACTGTTCTCTTTCTCTCCTCCTCCAGTCCCCTGCTGCCAACCTTGAGAAACAAGGTGATCTCCCACCCCACAAAGATGCCAGAACTGCTGTGAGCCGCCGCCGCCACAACTCTTCTGATGGTTTTTTCAACAATGGCTCCCTGCGTGCTCCGACAGGTAACAGTTCAACCTGTTGTTATTATCTGGGGGCTTTACTGCATGAGGGGAAGTGTGAATGGAGCCTACTATTCATTTTTGTATTTAAACTTCTCAGTAAGAATAAAAAGGTTGCAGAGAGGTGGTTTAAAGCCTTTCATATCATGCAGCACATTTTAACCTGAGTACTCTCTGCTGTGTTCCTCCTCTGCTTTCCCTCTGACTTTATGCAAATGTACTGGGACGTATGCTTCTCCCATTTCTGCACACAACAGATTCCAGGCTGATCTGGTCCTCTGCAGTTTGTTATAAAATACAAACGCTTAAAAAATGAACAGTATAACAACAGGATATTGTACTGTACAGATATGATGTATTTTCTTTCAGGAATGGCTTTGAAGAGAGAAAAATGCATGACATAGTCATACCTTTTTCAGATATCACACTGTTCCAATTAAATGCATTGCCACACTGTATAAACAGCTCACTTACAATCTTGTGTAGCTGTAGCTAAAACACAACCTCTGGGTCTTTACACACTGTGTTACTGTTGTAGTTTTTTGTTAATAAGTTACAGTACATGTTAATCTCAGGAGTGTCAAACATGAAGCCTGGGGGCCAGTACTTGCTCATTAAAAGGTATAGTCTTGCCCAGTGGCCAAGTGTTTGCAGTAAAGCCATGACTCAAATTCTGCAAAAAATGCTTTTTTCTTTCTTTCTTTTTTTTCTTTTTTTTTTAAATGGGTGGAAATTTAAATTATTTTTTAGATCTGGACAATTATGTATGATTTAATTTTTAGTTACAAATATTCTAGATTTGAAAGTTTTGTGCCTTTCTGTTGTGATCTGTAAATATTAATTTACAACATAACAATAGTAGACTGAAGGAATTCTATGAATGTGGAAAACTTGGCTAGGCTGTTTATGATTGGGTTTTTTTTAACTGGTCAGTCATTAAATGAAAACAATGATCTAATGAGCAGTAATGACTTCTGTTGTCTGACAGTTTTAGGTGAATTGGGTCTTGGTTGAATCCCTCTGATTTAGACATCTAGTCAGGTGAAAGCTGAATGAAGCCATGTTGGACATTCCCTTAAGAAAAAAAAAATCGGCTAGCTGTGAACGAAGAGTGAATAGGACAGTATAAGACAACCAATAAGGAAATGGGGGAGATATCAGTCAAGTGCACTTTGTACCTGTCAGCACAGCCTGCAGAAGAAGTCTAATCAGACTTTTTAAGCTGACGCACCCACGTAGGAGGAGTGGAGGTGTCTGTCAAGGCTTTAAAATCATCCTTAGATTTAAGTCAGCTGCCACCTACATTGTTTTTTTTTTTTGGGGGGGGGGGGGGGGGGGGGGTTGTATTCAAAACTGCTAAGGTGGGATTATAAAGATAGTGACGTTGACTACTTGTTTTCTGTTCTCAGTGATCGACAGTTAGGGTTTTATGGAGACTCAAAGAAAGATGAATTAGATTCTTTTGTTCCAGTTTTTAAGATCTAGAGTTGGAGTCTTGCATTTTGTGTAGCTGAAGATCTAAGCAGGAAATAAACTTCTGATGTAAGAGCATCCAGTTTGGGTCTCCATCTTGGATAATGATATGATGTGCTTGGATTATAGTGTTGAAGGCAGTGGTGTCATAACAGTGCTGTAAATGGGTGGTGCTGGTGCCGTATCGTCCTTCGCACGCACGCACACACGTCTCTGCTTTCTCTGTAGAATATGGCTGTTATTTGGTGTCCTCCACCCTGCAAATCTGTTTTTGTACAGTCCCCTCTTACTGCTGTCATCCAGTCGTTTGTGTGAACTAAGAATAAATGTGGTGTGATGCCAGTTTTATAATGATGGCTCACCTTCTCTGTGAATCTCAGTGATGGTGTGGAGTCTCACATTCCTATTCAGCTGTTTCATCTCAGTTTTCTGTGATGTTGTTTTCCTGGGTGAATCATTTCTTCACCCAGGAAAAAGTTTCTGCGTTTCTTCTTTGCCGTCCCTCCATTCTCTGCTTATACCAAATACATGCACACAGTGTGAGTCATCAGAGGTTATTACTGTCACAGAGAAATACTGTTAAAGATTCAAGGCATTCAGATGTTATTTGTGAAGGTTGTGAGGAAACCCTTGCTGTCAAAGTCACATTTCATTGGTATTGCTTGTCAGACAGTCATTATTTCCACTGTATGTGTCTCTCTCTGGAGGTGATGGATGGCAGCAGCCCTCTCTGCTTCTGAGACATGACTCAGTGGACTCGGGGGTGGCTAAAGGAGGGCACGGTGGGCTGGCAGGGGCCTCATGTTGGAAGGAAACGCCCAGCTGGCATGGAGCTCCGCGGGGTTCCCAGGACAGCCACCACCACCAGGGACGCCACCCCAAACGGGGAGGAGGCGACAGGGACAGGCAGGGGGGGCACCGGCAGCGCAATGGTAACTTCCATCCCCGCAAGGGCACCTCGTACCCGGACAAATTCCCCAACGAGGAACGCAAGGACAGCAAGGACGACAAGCTGAAGTTTGTGGAGGAGGACTTTGTGAGTAGTTGACCTCCGTTTTTCCTGTTACATTACAGTGGGATAACTACTGGAACCATTTTCTCCTTTTCAATATTTGCCTTGTAATAGAAGCAGAAGAGGATTTATGAGTGTTATGCCTCAGATTATTGCCTTTAAACATAACTTGTAATTACAAAATTTGAAAGATTACATATTTAATGTAGGCACCTGTTTATTTGTATTTTTAGCCTTCGCTCAACCCTGAAACAACTGGAAAGCCTGGGGCTCAGACACGAGCAGTTGCTCCCCACGCTGGAGTATGGGGTAAGCTTTTCGCCCTGACTCAATTTCTGTGCTCAAAGAGACAAAAGATTTTTTCCCTTGCACCATCATCTCTAAGATTTAATTTGATTGTCTTGATTATGTTCCAGAAAATCCACCAAGTGGCAAACAGATGGTGTCCAAAATGCTGGTTATCAAAAAAATTTCCAAGGAGGATCCCAGCACAGCCTTCTCTGCAGGGTTTGCCACTGCTGGTGCCCTGCCAACCAACGGCAGCAAAGCTCCCATCACAGGCTCCAGCGTCTACAAGAACCTGGTCCCAAAGCCGGCTGTGGCCCCTACCAAAGTATGACTGTCGAGATGTTTTGAGTTAATTAACGGCTTGCTTGATTCAATTTCCGAGAGAAGAATTGCTTATCAAGCAAATGTGCATAATAGAGATAACACCGGTGCACTGGCCAGCGTGCATGGTAGCCTGCAGTAAAAGAGTTTTTAAACACTCTCATGTCCTCTTTTCCAGAGCACCCAGTGGAAATCCAGTGGTAGAGAGATCACAAAGTCTGGTCTTCACATGCCAGGCCGAGATTCAGTCTTCACCAGCCCCGTCTCTGCAGCCAAACCCAGCACCCCAGTCAGTGCACCACAGCACAATACTACAAAAGAGGTGAGAAGAAGGATGAAGCAACCCCAATGAAAAGCAAGCAATTTTGTGAAGGTCTTGCTTTGCTGTTACTACAGATGTGTCATTGTTGCCATGCTTTGAAATCAGTTGAACAGATAGTTTAGATCTCTTGCACTGATGTCTCAGGTAACAAAAAGAATAATAGTAACTTTTATTTCTCCTTTTCTGTCACTTCATGACTATTTGCGGCTCACACCTGCAGCACCCTTCAAGCACGACTCCTCCCATAGATATTGCTCCATCACGGCTGAAGTTGATGCGTCGCGGTCCAGACCGTAAGAGCGAGTTCCTGAGAGCTCTGAAGGACGAAGGCACTGGAGAGCTGACAACAAGCAGCAGCCCAGGAACATCAGGAGAGGTAGGCAGCAGTTTGGATATTTTGTTTTTTTTTCCCCCCAAAGTATTAAAAGGGACCCATTAAGCTAAACACAGGGCCAGAGCAAAATTCATCACACTGTTTCTTCTTTTTACGTCTCTTCTGTGCTTGTGTCAAGCTGCATGAAATTCCGTATATGGTCATGGTTCCTTATACGAGGAAGTGTGCCTCACAGCTCGTGGGTTGTTTATAGAATCCAGGCAATGGGCAGCCAATCACATGAAGGGATTATTAGGGAAGGGGACCTGCACAGGTCCTAACTGTAGATCATTTAAAACCTCAATCAAAATGTAGAGCTAGAGACTAGCATAATAGATACACTTTAAGAGAATGTGCTGCTGAATGTGGAACACGATCATGGCCTCTGCATTCTCTGCACGTAGAAGTCATGTGTGAAATGTAATGTTATGGTCCTGGATAAGAGCTTTTTGTCAGCACATAAAGGACAGCTGGGGCTAAACTTGAAAATAATTCTTGCAGGGTGAAAGCAGCACCCCAGAGCCCAAAGCCTACAGCGAGGAAGGCTGTCATGAGAATGGTCTGTCTTACTCTCTGAGTGACTCAGACACCGAACACCTGTCCAGCTCCCTGGAGGCAGAGCACAGGTAGGACACTGCTAACAGCCTTATATATACACACAGGCCAAAACACACAGACAGCTAAGCAGAAAATTACTATGCTTATCTAGGTTGCTGAAGGCCATGGGCTGGCAGGAGTACCCAGAAAATGACGACAACTTCCTGCCTCTGACAGAGGACGAGCTGAGAGAGTTCCAGACTAAAACTGAACAGGTGAGCTCTCAGAGGAAACGCTGACTCTGCTTACGTCTAGCTCAACTCAGTCTGTCTCACACATTAAACGACGTGATTGTGTTTTGACCAGCTGAAGAGGAACGGCATTCAAAGGAATGGGGTTCTCCCGAGGACACGGGGTGTGACCCTCCACTTCACCCCCTGGAGGAGTGTGGCGGAGGCACACGTCGAGGAGGGCTCCGAGTCCGAAACCAGTAGCAGCAGCCAGACCTCTGATGACGACGACTGCATCAAATCCTAACGTGGCTTTATGGAACAAAAAGAAGAAGAAGAAAAAAATACCAACAACACAACAACAGCCAACACCACATCCCAGCAAGCAATTCCCCTTTTCCTCTGTCATCTTTGTTTTTTAGAGCACCATTCTGAAGATCTTTCTTTTTTGATTTTGTTTTTGTTGTTCTTGCACAAGGGAAAAACCAATCATATCCCAGTGAAGGGGGAGATTCCTGCTCTGCCAGACGTCGTTTTCCCTGCGTTTCCTCCTTCACTGCAGTCCCTGCCCTCTTTTGACCGATTTTCCACACACACACACCCACAAACCCTCCGTCTCCTCCCCTTCCTTTTTCTTCCTCGCTTTGTGGAACTGAAGTGTTCATCAAGAAAAGAAGGGCAATGAATGCACACTTGATTCTGCTTTAAACAGACTAACTCATTTCATTGATGATGCTGATGACACATTATTAATGATATTAATAAAAATTGGTTCCTGACAAGCTGATATGTTTCAATATGAATCTGGCTACTGTGGTGTTTTTAAGTCCACACATCATGTGACTATTTGTAGATGGAGTCCAAATGATGCCAGTATTTCCTGCAGGACGATTGTTGTTTCTTGAAGGACAGAGTAGCAGAATAACAGCTGTAGATCAGCCCGGCAACATCAGTAAATGCAACACTGAAACATTTTTGTTATAGAAAAGTTCCAGTTTCCCACATATGCAATGCTTTGAGAGGCTGTGCTTTAATTTTGGGATGAAATGTGTAAGCAGACTTGTTTTTGTGACCCACATTGTGAGCAGCAGGTCTGTGGCTACATCTGAAACAAAAACATTAATAACCTTGCAGCAGATGTAAATTCAGTGTGAGCGAGATTCCTGCACGCCCTGTGGGCTGGGCTTAAGTTCATGTCGGGAGATTCACAGGCTTGTGGCTGAGATCCGGTGAGTCGTGGAAAAAAAAAAAAGTTGTTCTCACAGGAAGTAAGAAGTGGTGGGATAATGCAGTATTTAAATTTAAAGTATTGTGTTTTTTCAACCCACATGGATGGGATTAGAATAGAGAGCGGGGGAAGCTGCAGGAGGAGGGATGTTTATTTTTCTAGATTTCTCTCTTCTGCAGCTTTAATCATCATGATTTCCAAAACGTTGCTGATAATATGTTGAGATTTTGTCGGCCTTCAAAACTAATATATAGTTTTAAATCCGACATGTCTTTGACACTTCAGTTTGAGCTTTTTTCTTCAGTGCTTTCAGTTTTGTTAGCAGGGAAAGCACCACGGTTATATAACACTGAGAATGGCTTCATATTTTCATTCACATTTCAGTGTCCCAGTGAGCATGATAAAGGGCCCAGGCATTTTAATTCAAATTCAAATTTTATTTGTCACACAACCACACACAGTATGACATGGGGGCGAAATGCTTGTAGCTGTACAATGCCCGACCATTAAATGACAGAAGAAAAGTTTTACAACATTTACAATTTACAGTTTACTACAAAAATTTACAAATTAACTTAGCCATAATTTAATTATGGCTTTAATTAGCCATGGTGATTATTGCTATTACTATAATTAGCTGCATGTGTACCTCTTCTTCTCTGGCAAATGAAGATGTCTTCTCCTATAGGTCTGTCTTCCCGTTATTGTTTACCTCACAGGGGGAAGAGCTAGAAAAGAGTGCTATAGATTGCTGTTTAATGAAACCACCAAGTGTGAGCAGTCATGTCTGGTTTAGACAAATCATTACAAACCATCTAATCAGCTGCATCAAGTCAGAACATCTCCATACACTATCCTCAATGAGCTTTTAACTCTCATTGAACCCATCTACAGTCATGTCCTTAAGATAATGCAACAAAAACGTGACAATGCTCATCAGAGATCAGGTGTTGCTGTCAAGAAGCCATTTTTAAGGGAGGGAAACAAAAGGATGAGGTATGCCAAATTTTACAAATATATAAGAACTGGATTAAAAGTCAGTGGCAACAATTTTATGGAGTGATGAATTTAATTTTGAACATTTTCAAATTGTCAGTTTGTATAGGAGACCAGGAGGGAGGTAAGGCAGTGGGTGTCTACAGCCTTCTGTAAAACAGCGGAGGCTGTGTCATGGTTTGGGGCTGCATTTCAGCCAGGGACGTCAGGAGTCTTGTCAAAAATTTATGACTGCAGAAATTTTGAGCCACCCTACGTAGAACTAAGCCAGGATGAGTATTGGAAGCTGTAAAGCATAAATAGCATCAGAAGTTTTCAGTAATTAAAACACCAGTGATATTAATCAGGTTGGTACAGAGCCTTTGTTTTTCTAGTGCTTTATCCAAGCGCAGGCTTTCAGTTACTGCACAGCTAAATTTTCTTGTTCGTGTATTCAGCTATCAGCTCTAAGGCCCAGGTTCTTGCATTCTCTTGATTAAACTGCACTTTTGCTCTCACATGGCACACTGAATCCTCTCTTCAGACCACATAGTTAAATACAATAAGTCAGACTGAAGAATGCTGTAGAACCAGTATGACTAAAGGAGCCACTTATGTGGCCAGTACAAACATTTATGGACAGTTCATCAACTGCCAGAAAACAAAACACTTTCATGGCTCCAGTAATGAAGGCTTAACACACAGGTTTATCCAACCATCTTTATTGAATTTCACAGTATAATGTCAAACACTAGAGAACAAACAAACATGTATTTACAACAGCAAACGTGTAAGAGACAGTTAAGAGCTTGTTGTGCTGGTGAATCTCTTCTTGAACGGAGACAAAGTGCAGCTTCACTTACTGAAACAGAGGATGATGGGATTTCAGACAAGTTCAAGGTTGTAAGTAGTAAACGGCACAGCAGACAGAAATGACACCTCACCTTTCGACTTCCATATCATTGGCGTGTTCACCTGCATCTCCATTAGTGAGAAGCTTTTCGCCTGGCTGACTGTTGTCCTGCTTCACCTTCTTCACATCCTCCTTCACTGGACTCTCCTCTGGTTTCCTCTGCAATACACGGCAGCAGTCAAATGAGGCTCACCATTATAGCTACACCACATCAATGCAAGTTAAAAAACCTCACCTTCTTTCTGACCAGGTGGGAGATGTCAGAGACTGCAGCTGTGGAGGTGTTGCCATTGGAAGTGGATGTGCTTTTAATCTATTTGGAAGTTAAACATCAATTTTACAATCCTGTTGGGCTTAAGTTTGTTTCACAAAGTGTGCCATGAAAACTTGTAACTGACCTCTGAAGTGGAAGAAGAGTCTCTGTTCTTTACAGTGGAACCATCACAGGCAGAGGAAGTGGAGCCTCCGTCCTGAAACAGATTGCACATGCAGCTCAAAGAGAAGCCGAAACTTGTGGCTGATCATCCAAACATTTAAGATGGATTAGGATTTGTTTTCAAGCCCCTGGAATTTATTTGTAAATCATTGTGTAGATGGCACTTTGCATGGACCATGGTTTATTGGATTATACAACTTTACAAACTCTGATGCACAGGTATGATGGCGGCTATGCTGTGATCATCTCACGAAAGTCTGTTCACCGGACCTTACAGAGGGAGGTGTGACTAATGATGGATCGAGTTCCCAAATATTTTTCACCAAGTGGTTTACTTGTGAAGACGCGTAGCAACAGAACACAAATAGAAAAACTGAACTTCACATGTCACTGAAGCACCAGCATGGAGCATGTATTTTATGGATCCCATTTAACAACTAAAACCAAAACAATTCAGGCATCACGCTTTGTGGATAGCACCACTTTAACCAGTGCATACTGATCGCCTATGCTCTGATGACCGTCCTCCAGCTAAATCAAACTCCATGCCAAACTCACCAGTGCATCCTTCACAGCCGCGCTCGCTGTCTTCAGGCTTTCAGTGGCGTCCTCCACCTTCTCCTGGATCTCTGGCAGCAGAGCTTTGAGCTCCTCCAGCTCCTTCCTCTCCTCTGGCAGAGCCTCTGGACCTTCGGCTTTGTCAAGCATCTCCTGCAGCTTGTCTGGAATTGTATTAATAATATATTAATTATTGCATTGATTCTCTGAAAGCTAATTTCACTCCAGGAGCCGATGCTTACCAAGCCTGTTCTTTATGATAGAGATTGAGCTCTTCAGAGACTCGATGGCCTCGCTGTACTGCGTGTTCAGGCTATAGGTCACACCGAGCTGGTAGTGAGTCTCTGCCAGCAGGCGGCTGTCTGAGTCCAGGTGCTTCACCTGCAGCTTCAGGCACTCCTGGAAATCCTCCAGTGCTTGTGGATAGTTCCCTGAAAAAGAGAAGCAGCAAATCAACACCTGACATGTAAAACAAAAAACAAACAAACTCTGCATTCTCAGAGTTTCGTCCACTGTTCAGGGTCAGCAGGCATGGACACTGCAATGAGCTGAGAACAGTACAGACTTCATCAGCTAAAGATTTGATCTTTAAGTGGTGATGCGACCGAAAAAAACCTGTTCTGTAACTACCGGGTGTGGATGTGAGCATCCACTCAGAAAACTAGCATTTCAAAAAGTTGAAGCTGAGACATTTTATGGTTCAACTAATTTAGGCTGCCCCCAAGTGGGCAAACAGCACAGTGGCAGATTTAACTTTTTAGCTGTGTTGCAACCAAGAGTTAGGTACACAAATCCGAACTAAAGAAATCTCAAGCTGCTCAGACTTTGTCCTGACAGAAACTGAGCACCGCTGCAAACACAGCCATCAACACAGCCTCAAGCTCATTGCAGCAAAGAGAAAACAATGATTATGTGCAAAGCTGCACATTTGTTCAGACCTGATTCAGCAGAAACTTCACCCAGTTTCAAATGAGCCTGGGCTGCCATTAGCTGATCCTCCTTCGTCTCTTTCCTTTCATAAGAACAAAGAGGAAAAAGGTTACAAGCTTGAAATGCAGGTGCAAAATGATAAGATAAAAATCATGGCTCTGAAGTGTTTCCTTTACCTTTTGTAGATGACTTTGGCCACTTCTAACATCTCCCAGGCCAGCTGCAGGTTACCCACCTCCTCATCGTCACTGTCCTAAAAGAGGAACACAGACAGAAAACATGAAATTCAAAATTCACAGTCAGCTGAGTCCTTTTTTAACATGCGAGCTGTTTGTTCAGTACCTTCTCTCCAGTGGCATCTCCTTCACCCTGCTCCTCTGCATCACCTTCCATTTCTACATCATCGCCACCTTCCTCATCTTCCTCGCCATCTACAAGCAAATGTCATGAGTTTAGATACACTGCTCTGCATGCTTCAGCAGCTAACACTGCCATTACCAAGCCAGGATCAGGACAGGAGGAGCAAAGGTCACCTGCTTCCTCCTCAGCAGCTGCTTCTTCCTCTTCAGCAGCAGAGTCCATCTTCTCAGCTGGCTCCTCTTCTTTAGCAGCAGTCTTCTCCTTCTTAGCAGCGGCAGAGTCCCTCTCCTTCTCCTTAGCAGCAGATTCAGAGTCGTCCTTTGCATCCACTTCCTCCCCACTCTTTTCCTTCTTATCTTTACTTTCAGATTTGCTTTCATCATTCTTATTGTCCTTTTCAGCCTCCCCCTCTACTTTTTCTGTGTTTTCCTTTTTGTCACCAGCCTCGGCTCCTTCAGTCTTCTCCTGTGGATCCTCACTCTGCTTCCCTTCAACCTTCTCCCCGTCTTCAGTTTTCTTCTCCGCCATGGCGTCGTACACCTGCACCCTCAGCTCGTCTCTGGTCTTTTCTGTTGACAGCAGAACAGTTGGGAATGATGTGTGCACATTTAGATTAACTGTAACGAGCCAAATATCACATTATTCCCTTACCGTCTACATTGTCTGTGCTCTCAACATTGGAGTCTTTGGGTTTCTCTTCTTCCTCCTCCGGCACTCCCTCTAGAGCATTACCCAAGACCGAGTTCTCCATCCTACAACAAGTCTGGCAGTCAGAGCGGCCCCTCCATCCTCACCTTAAAGAGCTGGACTTTCTCATGTTTAAACCTGATTAACCTACCGTGCCAAATCCAGGAGAGCTTTGCCATACCAGAAGAAAGCCTCGCCACATTCGTCCGCTGTGTCTCCAAACTCTTTAGCCCTATAACAACAATTTACCATTTATTTTAGAGTGAAAAGCAGGCATCCATTACTGCTCACGTGCTGCTTCAGAACAAATTAGAAAGATTCGTGGAGTTAAAAAGCTAGGCATATAAAAAAGGATTAGCAAGTGAATTATTCAAACTAGGTTTAAGCTTAAACAATAAAACAGAACCTAATGGAAATGAAATATATAAATTAAGAAAAACACTAAGCTAAACTAATGTCACTGCTTTCTGCTCACATGCAAAGAACAGCTGCAGGCAGTTTGTGATTTGCATAAACACGTTCAAGTTCATTTTCAAACACCAGAGGGGAGAAAAAAAAAAAGCGGCCGTTTTGCATTTGCACCAATCTGCACACCTGCTCAGAATCAGCCTGCACGAGGCACTGTCACCTATAAACTCTTCAATCATGTAAACAGTGAAACACACGGTTTAGTTTTAGGAAGCCCAAGTGAGCGTTTTAAAAGTAACCACGAGGGCCACTTTATGGGCCCTTTGTGGGACCGTTTCACGTTCAACCTCACTGAAACTCCAGCGTGACTTGAGGGTAACTCACAGCATGCCGCTGGCCTCCTGCAGGGTGCTCACAGCCTCCACTACCTTCCCCATCACCAAGTGCTTCTTGCCGGTACCAATCAGCTTGTTGGCCTCCTCCATGTTTACAACACCTGACGGAGAGAAACAATCGGTCAGCTCAGCTCCCTGCCTGGACTCTGAGCTCAGGTCAAACTGTACCTAGGCCTTTGGTACCAGTTTGTATCGTTTAAGTTTAAATAGCAGAGAGGCCACCACACACCTTTGACGGGGAAGAGCAGTTAAAATAATAATAATAAAAAAGACCTCCGGCGGCGCGCGCGTCCCAGCTCGTGTCTCGTGCCGCTCAGACTGACTGTGTTCCGTTGTTTCAAATTGGCGCGAAATACCCCTGCTCCTTCCGGTCGCTTTCCTTATTTGTAGACCCGCGCGGGAAAATTCTTAAAGGTACAAAGTACTAACAAGAGGACTGCAAGTACCGCTGCTACAGTTACACGCATTACTACCTCAAGTACTTCTGCTGCTATTGTTATACTGCTCCTTGTATTACCACTCCTATTCATTATACTGCTAATCCTTCCAGTGCAATACTAAAAACAACAATTGAAACTGTTATAATGAGTACTGTTGATGGCAGCCCTGTTATTATTGTACACACTGGCTTCCCAACAACCATTAATCTTTAAGAGACCTTCAGGAAGTGTTCCCTAAAGCTTGTCTGGGGATCTTAAGGTCGTTTTGCAACACTTTTAAGAACCTTTGGTCATTTTGTTTTTTATTTCTAGTAATGTCACCACTAAAACAACAACAAGAACAACAACACAATTACAAAATATTAAATAAATAGGATATTTTGAAGAAAATGTCTTCAAATATGTAAATTACCCACACAAATGTGACATAAATGTTACATGGTTAGATCAGGTCAGAGTTATTTCTGTGACCTGCTGTTTAGTGTGAATAATGTTTTTTTGTCTTAGTTAATAGACAGCGGCATCACAGTAAAAAAAAACAAACAACTATGATTGAAATAAAACGTACAATTATTGAGTCATTTATTGGATCATTTTGCAAAGGTATAGTATTTTACTATGTAAGTAAAAGTAAAGAAATGTAGGTGATCATTTCTTTGTTGTAACAATGTTTTTTAGCAATAAATCCTGTAATGTTGGAAATATTGTTTATTTTCCCCATCAGTGGTGCCACATTTGTAAGGAAAATGCATTTGTTGGTTGAGTGTGTGGGTATTTTATCTGCCAAAAATCTTGTTCTTCTATTGGCTCTTGTTTTGAGCTTCAGATAACCCAGATGCTAACACTTCGGTGCCTGATTAGTGGCTGATTAGCGCTGTTCATTGATGAGTCCAGTTTCTGCTTACAGCTGTTGGATGGTAGGGTCAAAGTGTTGAGATGTTGTGGAGAACACTATGCTGATGGATGCACCAGTAGGTTAACAGCTTTCGGTGGAGGCTGTGTGATGGTGTGGGGCAACATCTCCCTTACTGGAAAAACCAGACTGTCAACATTGCAGATGATATCAATGCAGAGAGATGTCAAGATGAGATTTTGCAACCAATAGCAATCCCATATCTCCACAGTCTAGGACTGAATTATGTCCTCCAAGATGACACACGCCAACCCCACCGAATGCTTGTGGGATCAGCTTTGACATGCTTTTCGTATCAGAGTGACCAACATACTCTCTTGAAGAATGGGACGCCATCCCACAGCACTGTGGGACCTAGCTGGTGACTAGCAGCAGGTGATAGGCTTTTGTAGCTGTGTATGAGTCTTTCACATACCACAGAGGATGCTCCTTGTTAAATAAGTAAGTGATTAAATTGTCCAATATGTGTTGTTTCTTCTGGTTTCAATCATCCAATTCAATACCAGACAAAAGCAGACAGCAAAACTCACATACTCAACTCTGCTGCTCAACCCATAAATGCAACAAAAAATGCAAGTTTTTACTCATTTCTAATGTTTCTCAGAGTTGTTCAGTATAAGGGTAACTGTTTAAGGATAGCCTATCTAGTAGAATTTGATGGTGCTATTGCTGTGTTTTAGTTTCACTCAGCATGTATGTAAAACAGCAGTACACACTGCTGCCATGTCCTGCTGTGAGAAGCACTAATACTCCAGCTCCCCTATGATCGCCTCCTGCTGACTCCAGTGTGCCGCTGCCTCATCAAAACAAGTCTGGACCTGACAACAAATCAGCATCATACAGATATATTTCAAATCATCCTCCCCTAAATACCTGACAACGTTGGTGAAGGGGGAATTTGGATTTCCATTACATTATATTTTTAAACAAAAACAAAAGAAAATATTGGATGAAATATGATTATTCAGTTTTAAAAAATAGTAAAAAGTACTTTAATTACATACAAAAAGGTTTATAGTGGTCATTTATGAGCTTTAGCGATGCTACTAGGTTGAGTTTTGTTCACACAGAGCAATACTTTGTTTCCACCTGTATCTTGTCTTTGTAAGTGGCTAAGCTAAGTGAGTACTGAATCCACCTACATATCGCACAAGCTAATAATCTTTTCATCTAACTCGCTAAGGAAGATCAAATGATTTTCAATGCATTTCTTTAATGCCATGCCCTGATACTGAGTCATTGGAAGTAGCAGAACTAGAAAAGCTTTTCTTTCCTCAAAGTCTGCCAATAACGCCAGATAACCCTAAATGAGCTTTACTAAACTGTACTAATTTAATAATTGTGGATTAAAAGCACCAATCATTTGAAGCCATTTTTCAGTCCATCGTCACATCTGTGACTGCTACAGCTGTTTTGTTATTCAGCACGGCTGAATGAAGCTGGGATGAGAGCTGTGTGAGAGCCCTTCAAACATCAAGCTGCTTTGGAATCACTAGGGGAGCAGATGTACTAATTATGGGCATATTGTGAGACAGGAGATGAACACAGCGCAGTGTTTGATCATTAGCCCACCGCAGTGCTTCTAACAGGAGGTTATTGTAGGCCCTCCCCTCTTATTTAGCCCTTGATGGAGCTCCATGGTAACAGTGTGCAAAGACACTGCTCGGTGACAGCGAGAGGCTGAACTGACAGCAGCCTCTGTAGGTCGACTGAGGTGAACTAACGTAACCTGAAAAATAGAAAGAAGAAGAAAAAACACACACTGTGGTTGGTTTCCTGAGTTTAAAATGAATTTAATGATATATGTACTCAGAAGGTTTTAGCCAAAATGTTTAGGGCACTGGCATTAGACTCACTAGTGTGAGAGAAAACATTATTTCATTTAGGTTTCCCAAACAGGAGACAATACACTTTTTTCAGTACACTATTGGGGCATGAATAAATAGGTAAACAGGTGTTAACAGTAGCACAGATTGGGCTTCTTTCCCAACTGGTCGTGGGAGATGGCGGCCCCTCTCCGAGCCTGCTTCTGCTGGAGGCTTCTTCCTGTTGAAAGGGAGTTTTTCCTCACCACTGCCACCAAGACCGTGCTCAAAGGGGGATTGTGTAATTGCTCGAGTTTTGTCTGTATTACTGTAAAGTATTTACCTTATAATATAAAGTGCCTTGAAGCAACTATTTATGTGATTTAGTGCAATAAATAAAATATATAAATATAAAACTAGATTGAATTATTCGGGTGTAGAGTTTGAATTAATATCATAATTAAAACCTGTCTTTGTATTTTCATATAAAAGAATGACTGCTCTGAAAAAGGTCTACTAGCTGAAAACCCCCCAACTCAAAATTAACCACTGTCTGGATTCCTGAAACCGGTTTCTCTTCCCTTTTGTTGTTTTTTTCTCTTCCTGAATTATAGCAACTGTTACACATAAGGTTTGCTGTCACACGTCAATAATACTTTGGTGTAATTAGATTACACCTTGGTACCCCAGGTAACTCTCCTAGGTGTTAGTAACAGTCCCATAGAGTCTGAAACTTTAAGTTAAAAGGCACGCAGAAAACTCGTCCTCTGCAAAGGCTCTGACAAATGCAGTTTGAAAGAAAGTGGTTTGGCTTAACAATCATTTTAATATGCTGCCCATGCTGCACCTCTTCACCATGTTCAAATAAAAATTGGCCTCTAGCTTCTATTTAATCTCCCTGAGAGACAAACAGGTGACCCACAATAGTTCATTTATAGTTTATTACTTATTATTTATCTATATCATATAGCACCGGGCATTTCTTTTTCTTTTTTTTCTTTTTTTTACCTAAATGGACTTGCTTAGAAATGTAAGTAAAATGTAGCAACTTCCTCTTCACAAGATTACAGAAAATACAGACAGCGGAGTCATTCAGTAAATCTAGTGGGAGTGATGAGGAAATTAGAAGGAAAAATACCTTCTGGCAGCTCACTGGATAGAAGCAATAAGATGTTGCAATAATAATTCAAAGGCAAGTCCAGACTTCAAGGAAGTGCTTCTAAAACACATCATGTGTAGTTGAAACCTAAATCGTGAACAGATTTATTGTACTTGGTATAAAACTGGTATATTTACTATTGTTTTCTAGGGGAAGTGTTATTTCTACTTAAAAGAAAAAGAGGAACTTAGCCCTCATTGAAATGAGTCCACAGACAATTAGAAAAAAAATATGCTCCATCGGTTGAGTATCACTAGTTTCTTGAGCTAGTAAGTTACTTTGCATATTACTGGTAATGAGAAAAAAGGCAGCAGAAGTGAGGTGAAGCTGAAAGAGTAATATGATACTATTATTTACTGCTTGTGCATAACAATGGATTGGCAGCACATCGTGAAAGAGGTTGAGTCTTATGATGGAACCTCATATGACCCCTGGATTAAGGAAGTGCCAGCCATTAGACACCTGTTCATTTATATATTTTTAGTTTTACATCAATAATTCAGTGTATTACAGTGAATGGGGATAGTTCAAACACAGAGGGTTAGCTCCTCTGAGATTATTAAACAACTTTAACGCCAAACGCAAAATCTTGAGGTTATTTCCTGGAGGCCAGCCTTTATCTCTTACTCCTCTGGGTTTCACAAGAGCGTGGATTCCCAGAAAAGTCATGAGGAAAGGAGGGAAAAATGCAAAGTCATGCTACATAAGCGCAAGCTTCACATTCTGTGGGACTGACTGAAGTGGCTTCAGTTCACGTTCTGAGCGCAGTTATCGCGAGATGTGAGTCGTTTTATAAATTTCCCCCCCGAGCCCGAGTCTCTTACCTCCTGCACTCCGTGGGCCGTGACTGTGTGGTGTGAAGAGAAAAAGCGAGGTATGTGACACTAACGAACATGTAATTGTGTTCTTTAGAGTCTTAACCTTAAAATGACATTTTTTCTTATTGGTTGTGAAGTTTGCAGTTGTGTAGCCGAAGCTGAAGCGATATTTCAACAAGTGGGTTTTTCCCACATGTGAAAAAAAATCGCTTTCAGAAACTCGGAGAAAAGGAT